GTTTTCAAAGCTTCTCTGATACGCAGCGCGCCCTCCTGTGCTCTTCTAACAGCCCTGGTGTCTGGCTGTGCGTAATCGGCCGCCAGGCGATTTGCCTCAACCTCCCACCCCACCATAAAATATTTGTCTCCCCCTTAGTCTCACAGATATTGTGGAGCACACAGCAAGCAGCAATAACAATGGAAATACTGGTTTCGCTAAGGTCTAACCTAGTCAGTAAACTGCGCCAGCAAGCTTTTAAACATCCAAATGCACATTCTACCACCATTCTGCACTTGCTCAGCCTATAGTTGAACAGCTCCTGACTACTGTCCAGGGTGCCTGTGTATGGCTTCATGAGCCACGGCATTAAGGGGTAGGATGGGTCCCCAAAAATAACTAAGATTTCAATATCCTCAATGGTAATTTCTGGTCTGGGAAGTAAGTTCCTTCCTTGCAGCTGTTCAAACAGACCAGAGTTCCTGAAGATATGATTGTCATTCACCTTTCCCGGACATCCCACGTTGATGTACTCAATGCTTTTTTTGCCTCTGTCTTCATGAACAAGGTCAGCTCCCAGACTACTGCACTGGGAAGCACAGCATGGGGAGGAGGTGACCAGCCCTCTGTGGAGAAAGAAGTGGTTAGGGACTATTTAGAAAAGCTGCAAGAGCACAAGTCCATGGGGCCGGATGCGTTGCATCCGAGAATGCTAAAGGAATTGGCGGATGCGATTGCAGAGCCATTGGCCATGATCTTTGAAAACTCATGGCGATCGGGGAGGTCCCGGACGACAGGAAAAAGGCTAATGTAGTGCCCATCTTTAAAAAAGAGAAGAAGGATAATTTGGGGAACTACAGGCCAGTCAGCCTCAATCCCTGGAAAAATCATGGAGCAGGTCCTCAAGGAATCAATTCTGAAGCACTTAGAAGAAAGTGATCAGGAACAGTCAGCATGGATTCACCAAAAAGTCATGCCTGACTAACCTAATTGTCTTGTATAACGAGATAACTGGCTCTGTGGATGAGGGGAAAGCAGTGGACGTGTTATTCCTTGACTTTAGCAAAACTTTTGGTACGGCCCACAGTATTCTTGCCAGCAAGTTAAAGAAGTATGGGCTGGATGAATAGACTATAAGGTGGATAGAAAGCTGGCTAGATTGTTGGGCTCAATGGGTAGTGATCAATGGCTCCATGTCTACTTGGCAGCCGGTATCAAGCGGAACGCCCCAAGGATCGGTCCTGGGGCCGGTTTTGTTCAGTATCTTCATTAATGATCTGGAGGATGGTGTGGATTGCACCCTCAGCAAGTTTGCAGATGACACTAAACTGGGAGGAGTGGTAGATACGCTGGAGGGTAGGGATAGGATACAGAGGGACCTAGACAAATTAGAGGATTAGGCCAAAAGAAATCTGTTGAGGTTCAACAAAGACAAGTGCAGAGTCCTGCACTTAGTACGGAAGAATCCCATGCACCGCTACAGACTAGGGACTGATAGGCTAGGCAGAAGTTCTGCAGAAAAGGACCTAAGGGTTACAGTGGACAAGAAGCTGGATATGAGTCAACAGCATTCCCTTGTTGCCAAGAAGGCTAACGGCATTTTTGGCTGTATAAGTAGGGGCATTTCCAGCAGATCGAGGGACGTGACCGCTCCCCTCTATTGAACATTGGTGAGGCCTTATCTGGAGTACTGTGTCCAGTTTTGGGCCCCACACTACAAGAAGGATGTGGAAAAATTGGAAAGTGTCCAGCGGAGGGCAACAAAAATTATTAAGGGACTGGCGCAAATGAGGAGAGGCTGAGGGATAGGGATTGTTTAGTCTGCGGAAGAGAAGAATGAGGGGGGATTTGATAGCTGCTTTCAACTACCTGAAAGGGGGTTCCAAAGAGGATGGCTCTAGGCTGTTCTCAGTGGTAGCAGATGACAGAACAAGGAGTACTGGTCTCAGGTTGCAGTGGGGGAGGTTTAGGTTGGATATTAGGAAAAACTTTTTCACTAGGAGGGTGGTGAAGCACTGGAATGGGTTACCTAGGGAGGTGGTAGAATCTCCTTCCTTTGAGGTTTTTAAGGTCAGGCTTGACAAAGCTTTGGCTGGATGATTTAGTTGGGGATTGGTCCTGCTTTGAGCAGGGGGTTGGATTAGATGACCTCCTGAGGTCCCTTCCAACCCTGATATTCTATGATGTCAGTGAAACGTCCCTTGTGATCCACCAGTGCTTGCAGCACCATTGAAAAGTACCCCTTGCGGTTTATGTACTGGCTGCCAAGGTGGTCCGGGCCCAAGATAGGGATACGAGTTCCGTCTGTCGCCCCACCACAGTTAGGGAATCCCATTGCAGCAAAGCCATCCACTATGACCTGCACATTTCCCAGAGTCACTACCCTGGATAGCAGCAGTTCAGTGATTGCGTTGGCTACTCGGATCACAGTAGCCCCCCAGAGTAGATTTACCCACTCCAAATTGATTCCCAACTGACTGGTAGCTGTCTGGCGTTGCAAGTTTCCAGAGGGCTATCGCCACTCGCTTCTCAACTGTGAGGACTGTTCTCATCTTGGTATTCTTGTGCTTCAGGGCAGAGGAAAGCAAGTCACAAAGTTCCATGAAAGCGCCCTTATGCATGGAAAAATTTCGCAGCCACTGGGAATTGTCCCAGACCGGCAACACTATGTGGTCCCACCAGTCTGTGCTTGTTTCCCGGGCCCAGAATCGGCATTCCATGGCATGAACCTGCCCCATTACCACCACAATGTCCAAATTGCGAGGGCCTGTGCTTTGAGAGAAGTCTGTGTCCATGTCCTCATCACTATCGTGATCGCGCGGTTGTCGCCTCCTCGCCTGCTTTTGCAGGTTCTGCACATAGTGCAGGATAATGCGCGAGGTGTTTACAATCCTCACAACAGTAGTGGTGAGCTGAGCGGGCTCCATGCTTGCCGTGGTATGGTGTCTGCAGGAGAAAAGAGTTGCAGCGGAAGCGGTGGATGACAACGGTTGCCACGAGAATAGATATTTATACAGAACGAAGAGAGGACCTGCGAGATGGATTCATGGCACCAAGAGAGCAAAGTTGCAGCGGAAGCGGTGGATGACAAGGGTTAGCAGTCCTACTGCACCGTCTGCTGACAGCAGTATGACGTCTGCACGGAAAATAGGTGCGGAACGATTGTCTGCCGTTGCTTTCACGGAGGGAGGGGCGACTGACATGTACCCAAAACCACCCGTGACAATGTTTTTGTCCCAACAGGCATTGGGAGCTCAACCCAGAATTTCAATGGGCAGCGGAGACTGCGGAAACTGTGGGATAGCTACCTACAGTGCAACGCTCCGAAAGTCGATGCTAGCCACAGTACTGTGGACGCACTCCGCCGACTTAATGCGCTTAGTGGGGTCACATACAATCGACTGTATAAAATTGCTTCCTAAAAAATCGACTTCTATAAATTCAACCTAATTTTGTAGTGTAGACATACTCTAAGTGGTCAAAAATGAAATGACTGTCAAAATTAGCACTGACTTTTTGCATTACAGTTTTTAAAAAGTTAATAAATTGACTTTTAATAGCATACTATATTACTCTTCATTTTTAAAAATTTTTGACTATACTTTTGTATCGTTGTATGAAAAGGTTTCAGTGATGCGGCCCTCAGGCCAATGTACTAGTTCTCATGTGGCCCTCGTAGTGATTTGAGTTTGAGATCCCTGGTCTAGCTAGAGAAGCTATCCAGGTCAGTTTTAAGTTAGCTCTGTTGTGATTTTGTTATGCTCTGTTCAGCAGAGGGAGGGCAGTCACCAGGGTAGAGCATTAATGGAGTCCACATAAAGGGTGGTGCTTGTGAGAGGTAAGACAGGGGTAAAGACTCTTTCAGAGAGACCATATTAAAGCTCAAACAGTCCCCCTCATTCTCCCACTGGACTCTGCTCAGAACCAGCCCGCCCAGCATCAGGGAACGGGATATCAATCAAGTCAGTGTCACCTGAGCTCAAAACAAAACAGGGGATAAAAGACACAATAATTTAGGGCATGTCTACACTATAAACTTAAGTTGACCTATGGTAGGTCGACTTACAGCCACCACTGTGGTGGTTCATGTCCACACTGCCCTCCTCCTGTCGGTGATGCGTGTCATCACCAGGAGCGCTTCCAATGACTTAAGTGTGAGGGAGCTGAGAGAGTGGGCTGTCAGCTCTGCATGCAGCTCCCTGCTCAGGAACCCCTGGGTAGTGGGACGCAATTGGACTGGGAGCCAGGACCAGGGGGAGCAGCTGGGCTGGGAGAGGGGAGCCTGGGTAGCTGCCAGGCTGGGAGTGGGGAGCAGGGACCCAGGGGGCAGTTGGGCTTTAGCTGGAGCCCCCCCTAAATCCCAGGGTCGACAGCCCGGCTTTCTTGTCAATTTCAGGATGCCAGCATGGAGCCATGAAGTTGACAAGAATGACAGCCAGCAACCCATGTAAGTAACCTGCAGTGACACTGCTTCACGCTAACTATGCCAACATAAGCCCTACGCCTCTTGTGGAGATGGAGTTACATCGGCACTTACATCAGTGGGAGCAAGGCTGTAGTGTGTACACTGACATAATTAGGCTGAAGTAACCTGCCTTATGTCAACCTAAGTTTGTAGTGTAGACCAGGCCCTAGACACTAGGGACTTCACCGTTATAGCCCAGAGCAAGTTATCATCAGTTCTTCTTGTTCCTTAGCCTTGTCTCATAGGAGCTCTCCTGCTTATAGATCTGCCTATATACATCCCCAGAAGCCCCAATTCCGGCACTGAACCATAACTGGAGTTTCACAGGTACAACACAGCACCATTTTAGTGGGAGAAGACCCTGATGCAGGGCCCCATCCCTAGCATAAAACACATCCTTGACACATGCTTACCATTGCTAGCACACCAGTATGATACGTCAGAGACGGACAAACCACTCTCCCTTCCCATGGCATTTAAAGTGCATGTTCTCAAAGATTCTGGTATCAGTGGAGCTGAAGGACCCAGTCTTGCAGCCATGGGGCCCAGTTTTTACCTGGTTGTTCACAACCACGTGAACTGTCCCATGCGTAGTGTAGGATGGCAAGTCGCTCAAATGGAACGTCTCATACACTATACCCTGCCCGGCAAAAGCTGCATCTCCGTGCAAGAGAATGGACATCACCTGTGGGGACAAGAGGATCAAACTGAAGGCTGGTGGCTTGTTGGCTTCTTTTCAGCATTAAAGGTGCCCAGAAGTGCACACAGAGGGGGCCCAGCATTGTTGGGGAAGGAGGGGCTATTGGCTAGGATGGGGCAGCAGCTACAAGCAGGCTCTGACTGGGCATGGAAAACTGTTCTTCATCTCCCCACTGTACATACATCTCCACATCTCTCTGGTGGCAGCTTCTTTGCCTCATCCTTTCCATTGTCTGTCCGTAACCTTCATAGCAAGGAAGATCTGATACTTTAGCCCCCAGGTGACTGCACTAGGAAGTGAGGTTTCAGTTTGATGTTTCAACAAAGCTCCTCCATGTGAGGCTGGATCTGAACAGACTATGGCTAGTGTCTCTGGTGCAATGACTCAGGAAGATACTGGGTGGATTCACAGCCCTCCCCTCCTGAAATTCTAGAAGACTAGGTTAAAACTAGGGCTGTTAAGCGATTAAAAAAATTAATTGCGCTGTTAAACAATAATAGAATACCATTTATTTAAATATTTTGGATGTTTTCTACATTTTCAAATATATTGATTTCAATTACAACACAGAATACAAAGCGTACAGTGCTCACTTTATATTTAATTTTGATTACAAATATTTGTACTGTAAAAAACCAAAAGAAATAGTATTTTTCAATTCACCTAATACAAGTACTATAGTGCAATCTCTTTATCATGAAAGTTGAACTTACAAATGTAGAATTATGTACAAAAACCCCTGCATCCAAAAATAAAACAATGTAAAATTTTAGAGCCTGCACATTCACTCAGTCCTACTTGATTGAGCCAATCCCCCAGACAAACAAGTTTGGTTACATTTGCAGGAGATAATGCGCCAGGTTCTTGTTTACAGTGTCACCTGAAAGTGAGAACATGGCACTGTTGTAGCCGGCGCCACAAGATATTTACGTGCCAGATGCGCTAAAGATTCATATGTCCCTTCATGCTTCAACCACCATTCCAGAGGATATGCGTCCATGCTGATGATGGGTTCTGCTCAGTAACGATCCAAAGCAGTGCATATGCATATTAATTTTCATCATCTGAGTCAGATGCCACCAGCAGAAGGCTGATTTTCTTTTTTGGTGGTTTGGGTTCTGGAGTTTTTGCATTGGAGTGTTGCTCTTTTAAGTCTTCTCAAAGCATGCCACAGACCTCATCCCTCTCAGATTTTAGAAGGCACTTCAGATTCTTAAACCTTGGGTTGAGTGCTGTAGCTATTTTTATAAATCTCACATTGGTACCTTCTTTGCCTTTTGTCAAATCTGCTGTGAAAGTAAGTGTTCTTAAAATGAACATGTGCTGGGTCATCATCCGAGACTGCTATGACATGAAACATGGCAGAATACAGGTAAATCAGAACAGGAGACATACAATTCTCCCCCCAAGGAGTTCAGCCACAAATTTAATTTATGCACTATTTTTTTAACGAGCATCATCAGCATGGAAGCATGTCCTCTGGAATGGTGGCTGAGGAATGAAGGAGCACACGAACGTTTAACATATCTGACACGTAAATACCTTGCAACACCGGCTATAAAAGTGCCATGCGAATGCCTGTTCTCATCTTCAGGTGACATTGTAAACAAGAAGCGGGCAGCATTATCTCCTGCAAATTTTAACCCAACTTGTTTGTCTGAGCGAGTGGACTGGTAGGCTCCTAAGTTTTACATTGTTTTGTTTTTGAATGCAGTTATTTTTTGGTACATAATTCTACATTTGTAAGTTCAACTTTCATGATAAAGAGATTGCACTACAGTACTTGTATTAGGTGAATTGAAAAATATTATTTCTTTTGTTTTTTACAGTACAAATATTTGTAATCAAAAATAAACATAAAGTGAACACTGTATACTTTGTATTCTGTGTTGTAATTGAAATCAATATATTTGAAAACATCCAAAAATATTTAATAAATTTCAATTGGTATTCTATTGTTTAACAGTGCGATTAATAGTGATTAATTTTTTTAATCGTGATTTTTTTGAGTTAATTGCGTGAGTTAACCGCGATTAATTTACAGCCCTAGTTAAAACGTGATTCTTGGAATTAAAGGCAATCAGTGGATTATGCCGATTAACTTATCAACTGAGTGTTACACTGGAACCAGTTCCAGTGGTGGATGAAGTTTACTGAGCACCAACCAGTGCCCATCTCACTTCTCCAGCTTTTGGAAAAAGGGAATATCCTAAATGAAAATTAAGTGGTTGCTTTTGATTTTACTGATAACAGACTTCCCTCCCAAGTGTGGGCTGAAAAAATTCATGCGCATAGAGAAAGGATGTGCATTTCACAAGCCACTTCAAACGTTAGTGAGGACACTTCAGGTGCAGCCATTAAAATGGGAATTCCACCAGTATCTGTGTGAGGCTTCTGCCTAATCACACTAGACGTGGATTGCTGTCTACAGATGTTGCCGTACCAGAGGACAGTGTTCGTCTTGGTATATTCTCCGTCCTCCCACAAAGGACCAGGGTTATTTTTGATCTCATTGGAGCTACCCGTATACCTCTCCCACGGTATTGGATACGTTTGTTATAAGCCAGACACTGAAGCTGCTTACAACAGCCCATTTTTTGTGGCTTGTTCTTTCATATTAGGGTACATGTTGAAGGACACAGCTGTTCTCTCTCAAGGAATGGATCCTCTGGTCCCCACTACCTATTCCAAGCCAACGACATATCTCAGGATCACAGTGATCCTTGATTTACATTCAGTTCCTTCAGTTTGGTCAGATTTATCTGGGGAGGGAGAGTTTGTTTATAGTAGTTTTCTGTAAGAGAAAGTGACCCCCTGCTGCACAACATGACTCTAGACATTCAACTCCTGGCTATGCTGAAGTCAGTGGCAAAACTCCCACCAACTGCTATGGAGCCAGGACGTGACCCATACAGTCTCACACCTGGTTACTTCTCGCAGCGATCTCCTTCTGCAAGAGGGACCTCCCTCCCCATCCCCTGATGCCTTAGTCCGCATCATTGTGGCCTGACTCTCACATTACTCCCTCTTGAGGTTTCTTAATGTTATTTCTTTGCTGGTGGGGTTTGCAGTTCCAGGGTGGGTCTGGTTGTTAACCACTCTTTCAGAATGGATCTAACCCTGATCTCACTGACGACACTCATGGGTCCATTCGCTGGGGCTTTCCATTACCCCACTTTACAATATGCCTTAAGACATTGTCCAGACCCTAAAAGAGTGTCCCTATACAAGGGCATCTGAACTAAATGAGGCACTTGATCAAATTCACCGAAACAAACAGATTCTCCATCCTCTTCCTCCACTACTTTTTTTTAAAAGAAAAGGAGTACTTGTGGCACCTTAGAGACTAACAAATAAATAAATTTGTTAGTCTCTAAGGTGCCACAAGTACTCCTTTTCTTTTTGCGAATACAGACTAACATGGCTGCTACTCTGAAACCTGTACATTTTGTTAGTAGACCAAAGTGAAGAAGAGTCTGCGATGATTCCACATAAGCCCCATCTCTTATTACTCATGGGCCAGTCACTCACCTGGTGTCTTTTTACAGGGGAACCTGGCTGGTAAATTGCCAGGATCATTCTATTTTTCTTTTTGAGGATCCGCACCACAGATATTTTTCTCCAACCCTTTCTGCTGTTCTGTTTCTCTCCAGTCTCTGCTGTTCTCAGTGACTTCCAGAGTAACTGCCAGTGGTTCTGAGTCTGAGTGAATCCCCTTTGCATCACCTAGACATGGCCATGCCTAGATCTGTAACCCACCACCACAGCCACCAAATACTGGCTTTCCAGCAAGTTATACAAAGCTTAATTGTGGCATGCTCTCAACCTTCTGCCATCTCAACAACGTCAATACCCCTCCCATTCCCAGCCCTGGCCCCTCCAAGAATACCGCCCCGGCATCCAGCTGCTGCTGAGTAGCAGCACAGCACGAGGACCAAGCTGATTTTTTTTTTTAAATGGCCACCGATTTGGGGTGCCTTGGTTCTCAGATGCCCCAGTTGCAATACCCTGAGCCCCATTTTCAGAGGTGCTGAACACCCATCCCTTCCCCTGACTTGAACTGGAGATTCGTGCGTCCACCGTTTCTAACAATCTGGCCTCCCACTCCAAGCCACCCAAATCAGAGAATACGTTTTGGCTGAGCCACTACTTCCGCTGCTCGCTATGGCTTGGTTAAGTTGGAGCAGGACAGAAGCAGCACAGTTCTGACTGTTGATGGAGCAATAAAACAGGAGAGGGTGCTTTACATGGGACCAGAACTCTTCCTGTGGCAGACAGCATTCCAGATCTCTGGGGAAATTCAAACTGACAAACAAACCACATGGATTTCCTTGGCTAATCTGGCTCCCTCATGGAGCAGTTTGCCTCCCTTCGGTCAACTACAAGTCAAGTCTGAATAAACTTATAACAGACACTGGATCAGAGGTATTCGGTGCCCTTTACCTTCTTTCCTTTAGTGTCCCCACAATAAAACTGCTCTGCCTTCGTCTTGCCCATAACCACTGGATCTGCAGCCTCCAAGTGAGATGGGTTTGCCACCAAGGAGAGGGTGATGTTCCTCTCAGTGACGCGGTTAATCCTCCGGTGGTACATTCCCAAGTGGTACTTCACGTCTCCCGAGCCCTGGAGAGAAAGAGCAGGGCCAAGAAAGGAGCGTGGGCGGCAGAGCTTGGGGAGATTGAGAGCAGGAGTCCCTGATGCCTCCCGTCATTCACAGGCTCACAGCATGGGTACGCGGCATCTGCTAGTGCTGCGTGGAGTATATAAGGGCCATGAATTTGGAGCTCTTCAGCTAGAGCTGCAATTACCAGAAACATGGAGCCCACAGATCATGTGCATTTGCTGATATCGGAGAGTAACAGCAGCACAGAGATGGCCCAAATATTGGCCACAAAGGTGAAAATCATTTATATGGTTTAAGAACCCAATCCTGCTCCCACTGAAGCCAAGGCAGGGCTCTTGTTTGGGTTCCTAAGTACTACTAGCTTTAAGCATCCAAGTTCAACAACATGGGTCCTGGTTACCAGCTGTATTCTGTGCACCTCTGATAAGCATCTGACCTCATTTATACCCTAGAGATGGGAGAACAGCCAGGAGGTAGAAGCACTGAGGAAAGGAAAGGAGGCAAGGACTGGTTGGGAGGCAGGTGCATGGGGTCTGGAGAGGGCAAGGGAGGTGGATGGGGCAGGGGAGAGGAGAGTAGAGAAGGAAGCAGGGTCTGGAAGAGGGAGATCAAGAAGAAGTGGGAATAAAGTTGGGGATTGGTCCTGCTCAAGTTGCAGTGGGGGAGGTTTAGATTGGATATTAGGAAAAACTTTTTCACTAAGAGGGTGGTGAAACACTGGAATGCGTTACCTAGGGAGGTGGTAGAATCTCCTTCCTTAGAGGTTTTTAAGGTCAGGCTTGACAAAGCCCTGGCTGGGATGATTTAACTGGGAATTGGTCCTGCTTAGAGCAGGGGGCTGGACTAGATGACCTCCTGGGGTCCCTTCCAACCCTGACAGACTATGAAACTCACTAGGTGGGAGAAATATTGGGACCGGTGAAGCAAAATTGTGTAAGTGTAAGAAGGGGCACAAATATACACAAGCTTCCCCTTCCCGCCAAAAAGACAGTTACCTTTCCGTAACTGGTGTTCTTCGAGATGTGTTGCTCATGTCCATTCCACAATAGGTGTGTGTGCTTGCCATGTGCACTGGTGCCGTAAGTTTTTCCATTAGCAGTAGCCATAAGGGACCATCCCTAGCGAGCGTGGTGCCGCCATGGTGCAGTATAAGGGGCTCTGCGTGCTCCCCCCACCCTCAGTTCCTTCTTGCCAGACAACTCTGACAGAGGGGAAGGAGGGCGGGATGTGGAATGGACATGAGCAACACATCTCGAAGAACAACAGTTACGGAAAGGTAACTGTCTTTTCTTTGAGTGATTGCTCACGTGCATTCCACAATAGGCGATTCCAAGCTATATCTGTTGGAGGTGGGTAGCAGTTCACAGACACTCAGGACGAAGCACTGCCCTGCCGAACCCAGTGTCCTCTCTGGTTTGGGAGATGATTGCATAATGCGAGGTGAAATTGTGAACCAATGATCATGTGGCCATCCTACAGATGTCCTGAATAGGGTCGTGGGCCAGTAAGGCAGCCAACGAGGCTCACACCCTAGTCGAGTGTGCCCTCACAATCGGTGGCGGGGGAACTCCCGCCAGGTCATAACAAGTACAGATACACGAGCAGCCGAATGGAGATCGGCTGGCCTCTTATGTGTTCGGCCGAGGCAATGAACTGTTGTGAGCACTTCCTGAACGGTTTCGTACATGCCAGGTATAAGGCCAGAGCCTGTCCCACATCCAGCATGTGGAGGCAGCACACCTCGCTGGACACATGGGGTTTGGGACAGAGCACCGGCAGGAAAATGTCTTGGCCCATATGGTAGGCAGAGACCACCTTAGGGAGGAATGAAGGATGTGGTTGGAGCTGGACCTTCTCCTTATGGAACACCGTGTATGGGGGTTCGGAGGTCAGTGCCTGGAGCTCCAAGACCCTCCCAGTGGACCTGATCGCCACCAGGAAGGCTACCTTCTAAGAGAGGTGTAACCAGGAGCATGTAGCTAGCGGTTCAAATGGAGGTCCAGTTAACCTGGCCAGCACCAAGTTCGGGTCCCACTGTGGGCCTAACATACGGGAAGAGGTGATCCAAACCCTTAAAGCAGGGGTGGCCAACCTGAGCCTGAGAAGGAACCAGAATTTACCAATGTATGTTGCCAAAGAGCCACAGTAACATGTCAGCAGCCCCCCATCAGCTCCCCCTCCTTCACCACACCTCCTGATCAGCTGTTTCGTGGCGTGCAGGAGGCTCCACGAGGGAGGGGGGAGGAGCGAGGGCATGGCAGGCTCAAGGGAGGGCGCGGGAAGCGGTGGAGTGGGGGTAGAGCACATTGGGAAGTTGGTGCCTGTAGCTCCAGCCCCAGAGTCGGTGCCTATGCAAGAAGCCGCATATCAACTTCTGAAGAGCCGCATGTGGTTCTGGAGCCACAGGTTGGCCATCCCTGCCTTAAGGAATTGGCCAGTAATGGCATGAGAGAATATCGTGTGACCCTGTACTGGCGGGTGGAAGGCCGATATGGCCGCCAAGTGCACCTTGAAGAACAAGAGCGCTAGGCCCAGGGCTCTAAGATGAAGGAGGTAGTCTAGTATAAGCTGGATCAGAGCAGCCACAGGCGAGAAGCCCCGATCAGCAGCCCACTGGGAAAACCGAGACCATTTTGCCAGGTAGGCCTGATGAATGGAGGGCCGCCTGCTCTCCAGGAGGATGCGCTGAACCCCTTCCGAGCAAGTCCTCCCCCCCCAGCCTAACCACTGAGCAGCCATGCCGTGAGGTGGAGTGCTGCTAGTTTGGGGTGGAGGAGATGACCTTGGTCCTGGAAGAGCAGGTCCCAGGAGAGCAGGTCCGAGAGCAGGTGCCAACGGCTACGGCGGGGCGACTGCCAGGTTTGTGAGAGTCCTGTACCAATGTTGCCTGTGCCATGCCGGGGTGAACAGGAGGACCTGGGCCCTGTCTGTTTTTATCTTTTCCAAGACCTTGCCGATCACTGGAAATGGGGGAAAGGCATAGAACAGCTGGCCTGACTAGGACAGAAGGAAGGCGTCGGAGATTGCGCCCATGCCCAACCCTCCCCTGGAGCAGAAGCGGGGACACTGGTGGTTCTGCCAGGTTGCGAACAGGTTCACTTGGGGAGTGCCCCATGTTTGGAAAATCCTGTGCACCACCTCTGGGTGAAGTGACCATTTGTGCTGAGAGGAGAAGTCCTGGCTCAGCCGATCCGCCCGAGAGTTCCGGATGCCCGGTAAGTGGTGGGCTTCCAGGTAAACATAAAAAAGGAGTACTTGTGGCACCTTAGAGACTAACCAATTTATTTGAGCATGAGCATCCGATGAAGTGAGCTGTAGCCAAACGGGAGGACAGTGAACTGATAGTGTTCCTGCCCAACTTGGAAGCGGAAGAAATACCTGTGTCCCTCGAATATATGAATGTGGAAGTATGCGTCCTGTAGATCGAGGGCGGTGATGATGGAGGCCAGAGAGACCATCTGAAACTTGAGCTTTACCATGTACTAGTTCAGGCCTCACAGGTTCAGGATGGGCCTGAGGCCCCCTTTGGCCTTCGGGATAAGGAAATAACAGGAGTAGAACCCCTTGCGTCTGAACTCCGCTGGCACCACCTCCACCGCTCCTAAGCCAAGGAGCCGCCTCACCTCCTGTTCAAGTAGACTCTTGTGAGAGGGGTTCCTGAAGAGGGATGGGGAGGGAAGGTGCATGGGGTAGAAATAAACTGGAGGGTATAGCCCCGGGAGACGGTGTTGAGGACCCATCGGTCTGAGGTCAGCTGAGACCACTCTGAGAGAAAAAGCACACAACTGGTTGGAGAAGGGAAGTTTTATTCCGGGTGGATCCCTGGTATGAACTGGTAAGTCGCCCCCGGGCGTCCTGTCAAAACTGGCGCTTCCCCACTTGTTTGCCCTTAGAGGGCCCAGGCCGGGATTGCCTTTGTGGGTGCTCTTTATAGTCCCTTGATTTTTTATAAGGGGGCTCATATCTGGAGTGGGTGGCCTGACTGGGAGCCTGCTTCGGTTTGAACTTGGTCCTGGACGGGGCCGGGACATAGAGGCTGAGGGTCTTTAATGTTGTTCTGGAGTCCTTCAGACCGTGTAACTTCAAGTCTGTTTGTTCCGCAAACAGGGCCTTGCCATCGAATGGAAGGTCCTATAAGGAGTTCTGTGCCTCGCTGGACAACCCAGACAGCAGGAGCCACGATGCTCTCCTCATGGAAACTGCGGCGGCCATAGACCGTGCAGCCATATCTGCGGCGTCCGAGGCTGCCTGAAGGACTGCCCTGGAGGCAGCCGTGCCCTCCTCGACCAGGGCCTTGAACTCCTTACCACGCTCCTGGAGGGAGTCCGCAAATTTGGGCATAAAGCTCCACAAATTGAAATCGTATCTACCCAGCAGGGCTTGGTGGTCCGCCACCCTCAGTTGGAAGCTCGAGGACGAATAAACCTTTCTACCGAATAGATCTAGTCTCCTTGAGTCCTTATTTTTAGGAGTAATAGCAGGTTGACCTTGCTGCTCCCTATGGTTGACTGACTCAAGTTGGGGGCAGGTGGGTGTATAGGTATTCATGCCCCTTGGCAGGCACAAAATACTTTTGTTCTGCCCTCTTAGAGATGGGGGGCAAGGAAGCCGGGGTTCGCCACAAGGTGTTCAAGATCTTTGCCACTCCTTCATGCAGTGGGAGAGCCACCCTGGCCGGAGCCGAAGCCAAGAGGATGTTGAACAGGGAGTCCGAGGGATTCCTCCACCTCCTCGGTTTGTAGGCTGAGGCTTGACGCTTTTCAACAGCTCTTGGTGGGCTTTTGTGTCCTCCTGTGGGATGGGAGCAGGAGGGGCTGTGATCACCTCATCTGGAGAGGAGGTGGCTGTGGATGCCGTACTCTGTGTCCCCACCGGTACCGCAGGTCCCACCACTTGGTCCCCTTCTGAGCACAGGACCGAGGATGAGCAACTGAGAGAGGGAGGCCGACGGTCTTTCCAAGGCTCCGGCCACCAAGTGAGCCACCACTGGGGGCTGCGTTGGGGCCCACGGGGCCCACTGGTATCATGGTGCCAGCCAGGGAGCCCGGTGCCAGTGCATCTGCTGTGGCACCAGTGAAGCAGACTGTCCAGCCTGACTAGCCTGACGACTCCGAAGGGAGGCCGGGCTGGCGCACGATCGACCACTGTCCTGGGACTGGGATGAGTGGCGGCGTTGGGAGTGATGCCAAACGCGAGGCAGTGATGCTGGCGTGGAGAAGCGGGAGTACCATCTGTAGCAGCTGCTCCGCGAACGGCTCTGATGGGTGGATCTGCAACGGCAGGGTGCAGGCGATTGGCCCCTGGGGCTGCGGGAGCAGTGCCGCGGCAGGGACCTCGAGCGAGATGAAGAGCGGGAACAGCATCGACATGTGTATCGCAAGGGGCTATGGTAGCTTCTTGGAGGTAACGACCTCTGGTGCCATCTGTCCCGGTCTTGGCAGGGTACGCTCTCTTCGTGAAGTCTACGTTCCCCCTCAAGGTGGAATGGTGCCTGGAACCCCTGCCGGTTGGTACCCAGCCAGACAACCTGGTGGAGGTCGACTGGGATCAGCGCAGACTGCGCACAGGGCAATCACTGAGCAGGCAACGGAGTCGGGAACCTTCCCTCGACTGTGAGCGGTACTGTCCAGGCGGTGACTGTGGGGGTCCGAGAGGTGGCTTGCCTCTGGACTGGGGAGCCGACGACAGTGGTGCTACTGGTACCGGTGGAGACAAAGTCTCGAGCCGCCTGCAGGTCCTCTGGCATGGAGGGCACCTGAACGTGGCCACTGGCATCCGGGGAAGTCGGCTTAGAGCAGGCTGGGCTACTCCGCTCAACTTGAGTCGGAGACCGCAAGGCTGGTGGGGACTGAGAGCTGCCCAATGTGGGTCTAGTCTCTCCCCCAGTCCTGCTCCGGTGCCTTGGCAGATAAAACCTCTTCTTCGCCTTTTTAGAGTGTCCCATGGACAGGGAGCAGTGCCGACTGGTGGAGGGCACCGTTGGGTTGCCATGCACTGATGCCGCGGTGCTCGGTGCTGACTCGGAGCAGTGCAGCGGTGTCGGGGTCAGGGCAGACTCCATCAAAATGGTTTGGAGCCAAATGTCCTGCTCCTTCTTGGTCCGAGGTTTGAAAGATCTGCACATCTTGCTGCGGATGGGTTTCCCCCAGACTGTAAATAGTTCGCGTGCGGATCACTCATGGGCATAGGCCGTTTGCAAGTGTCACACGACTTAAAGCCCGGGGCATGCGGCATGCCCCGACCCAGGCACACTTAACGAATTTTAACTAAAGCTACTTTTTGTTTTTGTTTTTAAACTACAGGCACTACTAACTATGAACTAACAGAGTCCAAGAGAGAAAGCTACAGCAGAGCTGAAGCAGAGCAGTTCTGAAGCACCTACACTGGCAGCAAGAAGAAACTGATGGTGGGGGAGTGTGCAGCGCCCCTTATACTGCGCCATGGTGGCACCACGCCAGGAGTCGCTAGGGGCACTCCCCTACGGGTATTGCTAAGGGAAAATCTTCCAGCATTGGTGCATGTGTCAAGCACACACAACTATTGTGGAATGCACATCAGCAATCACTTGAAGAACAAGGAATTATTATAGCTGCTAGTGGCATGGCATGTGGCCAAAAATCAGAACATGCTATAGAGGGGAAGTGCTCCATAAGACGATCTCTCTACCAACATGTGGGCCACACTATGGAACAAAGGGGGAAGCCTGACCTAGAAGTTCATGATAGGATAGGGACATATCAGCCCATATTGTGCCAAGGAACAGTCACGTCTCTCTAATCCGCTAGCATATCTGACAGCAAGGCAGAGGCTACAGGAAAACCAAGATTCATAATTTGCTGGACTCTCAAGACTACTTTGAAGAGGCTACCAAGTCTCACAAGAAGCTATTAAAGTAGACAGAACAGTCATGGGGTAAAGTACTATCTTGGCTTGGAAACTGGATCAACTGAGACAACACATTTAAAACAACATCTACCCTGCAGAATTCACTGCCACAAGGTATTGAGGCCACGAACTGAGCAGGACCAATAAATAACTAGTTATCCGTCTGGATAATGAGAACACCCAGCGATAATTCACAGGATAAGGAAAACAGAAGGGTTATGAACCTTCCTGGTTCAGGGCAAGCAAGTCAATAACTGACGAGGGTCAGGAACAGGCAGAGGTTTCCCACATGGACAGGTTATTCCAGAATTGCCCACTAAGGGGATTCTTGCACCTCCCTCTGATACAGCTGGTGCTGGCCACTGTCAGAGATGGGATACCAGGCTAGATGGGACCCTCGGTGACAGGGATTGCCAAGTGTAGTCTGCTGTCTGGAGAAAGAGCCCTGCTGCATATTGTACCTATGCTCTCACGTGGCTGCTTGCTTAGACTCTACTCAAACCTCACTCACCTCATCAGCAGCCTCCAGCTTGGAATCGAACTGACAGAAGATCTGCTCCAACTCCTTCCTGATCACGTTGGCGAGAACATTCAGACGCCCTCTGTGAAATGAATGCCACAGTCAGCTACAGGTGGACAGCTCACCTTGCACTCTATGCTGCCTGTCTGGAGAGAGTGCTTCTCACCCCATGCTTCAAGCCAAGGCAAAGGACCCATTCCTCTTCCTATGTTACACCAAGAACAAGCAGTTTTACTCTTCCCCACGCCCTGACAAACTGGTACTGGTACCCTGCGCTCCTTCTGAAGAGGAAAGCAAGGTGGGTCACCTGGCAGCACCCTGTCTCATGAGGGGTTCTTTTCACAATACTGTGATTTACTCATGCTGGACTCAGGAAGAAACAGCCACATGAGATTCCCCTATGCTGGAAGCCACCTCAGGAAGACTGTTCTTTACACTTCCCAATTATTTTGGATCCAGACACCAGTTAAATCCGTGGTGCAAGGCCAGACCTTCTTCAAACGCAGGTCCAAATTGCCTAGTATTGTGCACCTGTGCAATGGGGCCTCAATATCCACAGGGAATCCCAGTCTCCTCTGCAGGAGATACAACACATATCCTAGATTAAGGACTCACTGGGGAAGCTATTATTCTGCAGATCCCCGCATGCAGTTATGCAGATAATAAACAAGGGCTTGCTGGGCATTTTGTTTAGAAAGCACAGTGTGTTCCCTGTAAATTAAGATACATTTCCTGCAGCCTTGTATAATGGGTGATGTTAGCTATGAATGGGTGATGCTAATGCCCAAGATGCATTTGAATCTCAGTTTGTTTATATCATTTTCAATCAAATTAAACTTAATCTTTGGAAAAACAGTCAGCTTATGCCAGGAGCAAGAGTTCTAGGGGAAGCCAGCTTCCCTTTAAACCTCAGCCCCGCCAACTGCCACCCGCCCGCATCTTTCTGACTTGCCAGCTGCTCCTGCTGCCAAAATATGGGGTGAGGAGATAAGGATCCTGTTACCTGTGTGGCATCCCCATGATAACATAATCGACTCCATTCTCACTTGACTTGTCAATGATAGTCTTTAAGGCTGGGATAAGCACCTCGCAACCTTCCAAGCCAAAACGCTTCTCCGAAGACCATTTCCGATGGAGGAACTCCTCAAACCTGAAAGACAGAGTCAGACAGAAGTCAACGGTCAGGCTACAGCCTATTGCATGGGCTAGAGAACCCACAGAGACATTAGTGGGGGAGTCACAGATGAATGATATAGGCTGACAGGTTTCAGAGTAACAGCCGTGTTAGTCTGTATTGGCAAAAAGAAAAGGAGTACTTGTGGCACCCTAGAGGCTAACTAAGTCTAACTTAGTCTCTAAGGTGCCACAAGTACTCAGACTGACAGGTCACTTGTGCAAGTGATTCTTCTATGCACCATTGGCTGCATTATGCCTTTATAATTATTACTACTAGGATAGAACCCACTATGCACAAAGTGCTAGCCACACCCAGTACAGTCCCTGCCCAACATTGGTCCTAATCTAAGAATGAAAGGAACATATGAAGGGCAAGAGAGAAGGATAAAATATACAATCGAAATATAGCCTTAAGTAAATGCAAGAATTCCCATGAGCAGCTGTGACGGTGCTGCCTGTGGGAGCCAGCTGAGGTCACTCAATTAGGGTGAACTGCAAACAGAATGGGGCAAACAAACCACAAACTCTGGTGGATATTTCAATACTTAGATTTACCCAGCCAGCACAAAACAGCTTCTATAGCACCTCCCTGGGTACTCAGACGTTCAAATAATGCAGTTCCCTTAAAGTACCCAGCCTCAGGTCTCCATCCAGACACACATGTCAAACATAGGATGATAAATTCTGAAAATCTTATTTCATCATATAAAAGAAAAAGGTTCTCCGGATCTCAAAGGACCAAGCCCCAGACTCAGGTCAAATAATAACTTAGATCTTACCCAAAATACACGCTTATAGTCAATTCTTGTTAACTAAACTAAAATGTATTTAAAAAGAAAAGAGAGAGTGTTGGTTAAAAGATCAATATACATACAATTCAATTCTTGAGGTTCAGATACAGAGCGGAGATGAGTTTGTAGTGGCCAAAAGTCCTTTTAGAAATAGTCCATAAGTTATAGTCCAATGGCCACGTTCAGGGCGACTCCAGTCAGTGACTGGGGATCTCAATCCTTGTGGCTTAAGGTTTCCCCCTCTTGAAACCCAAAGCAGATCTGAGATGAAGAAGGATCGTGTCCTAAGGTTTTTATACATTTCCATCTTCCAAACATCATGGCAATTAGCACAGGATAATTTATCCATTAAACAGTTCAGATACAGGTTATCATAACCTTCAAACAGGCATAGACAATAATTCTATTTCACTCAAGTGTCTTCCTAAATGTTCGCAAAAAGAAAAGGAGTACTTGTGGCACCTTAGAGACTAACCAATTTATTTGAGCATGAGCTTTCGTGAGCTACAGCTCACTTCATCAGTGAAGTGATGAAGTGAGCTGTAGCTCACGAAAGCTCATGCTCAAATAAATTGGTTAGTCTCTAAGGTGCCACAAGTACTCCTTTTCTTTTTGCGAATACAGACTAACACGGCTGTTCCTCTGATTCCTAAATGTTAATATTCCTCTTTTGATCTTTGAATCAAAGCTATAGCAATAGACAAGACATGTTTGCGTTTATCACAAGACCTGAGCAAACATCTACCCTTCTATCTCTAACAATGCAGGCTTGCATTTCAAAGCTCTATTCATTTACATATCTTCCTAACCAATCTTTAAAGTTCGGCCAAGGGTCAGGTCAGTCTTGAGTTAATTAACTCTTTCTGGCCCCGTCACCTTTCAATGAGATATTATATTACACTCATACAGTCACAGCAGCCAACAGCCAGCTGGCTGACAGGCAGAGGTAGGCTGGAGTGGTGGAAACCAAAAGGGGGTCAAGATTTCAAAATGGAAGGTTATAATCAAGAGCATCAAAAGCTGCAGAGGGGTGGCAGAAGAGGGCCCTGAGAAGCGGCTGCAAAGCGGGAACTTGGGAAGAGTGGATGCAGTGAATGGAATGGAGGCAAAGTCCAAGTGGGGGGGTTCCAGGAGTTAGAAGAAAGGCGCAGGGGGTAGTGATAGTGAATGGAGATGGGGGGGGGGAAGAGGGAGGAGGCAAAGGTAGGGAGCAATCAAAAACCTCTGTCCGTGACAGGAGAGAAGACGGAAAGTGGGGGCTGGTGGAAGACTCAATCTTGCTGATCTCCTTGAAGGAGCCGAGAAGACCTTGAGCGGGGAGGGAAAAAGATGCAAGATGGGAGGCATTTCAGAAGGGAGGCAAAGGCTGAGTTTCTGTGAGCTGGAACTAGTGGGCAGTGATGAATAGCACTGTATGGCAAAGAGGAGGGTAGGATTGAAGGAAGAGTAACACACCCATAATGCAAAAAGAAAAGGAGTACTTGTGGCACCTTAGAGACTAACCAATTTATTTGAGCATGAGCTTTCGTGAGCTACAGCTCACTTCATCAAAGTTCCCCCTGGAAACATTTAGGAGCAGAGGAATCAGGCACTAGGGGAGACGGGGGACAGCAGAGCGAGGTTCCACAACAAAAACCAACAGAGGAAACATCTGAGAACAGCAAGGCCATCAAAGGCGTTGATGGTCTGGAGACCATAGAAAGCTTCGGGGTGTGGGGCAGGAGGTGATGTTGAAAGAGACGATATGGTGGCCTGAGAGAAGGAACTTGGTGATAGGAGATTGGTGAGAGCAGTGCTCAGACAAGGTCGAGAGAGGAGCCATTGTGAGGAGTGTGGGAATTAATCCACGGTTAAGGTCAACAAGGAGGCAGTGGAAAAGAGATGGAAGGCCGAGGGGTCAAACAGGATGTCAGTGAGATAACAGAGGTCTCAGCGAATGAGGTTGCTAGAGATCAGACTCAATACAGAAAAAAAACCAAAACCAACAACGGTTACTCACCTTTTGTAACTGTTGTTCTTCGAGATGCGGTGCTCATATCTATTCCAGTTAGGTGTGTGTGCGCGCCGCGTACACGGCTGTCGGAAACTTTTCCCTAGCAGCTACCCGTTGGGCCGGCTGTGGAGCCCCCTGGAGTGGCACTGGGTATGGAGCTCTATATACAACCCTGCCGGCCCGACCCCCCCTTCAGTTCCTTCTTGCAGGATACTCCAACAGAGGGTAGGTGGGGGGAATGGAATAGATATAAGCAACACGTCTCGAAGAACAACAGTTACAAAAGGTGAGTAACCGTTTTTTCTTCGAGTGCTTGCTCATATCAATTCCAGTTAGGTGACTTCCAAGCCTTACCGAGGAGGTGGGGTCAGAGTCAAGGTATTGCCGATCAAAGTACCGCTCTGCTGAAGGCCACATCATTCCTAGATTGGTGGACGATGGCATAGTGCAACGTGAAAGTATGCACAGAAGACCATGTCACAGCCCTGCAGATTTCCTGGAGAGGTATTTGGGCTAGAAAGGCTGCCGACGAGGCCTGAGCCCTCGTGGAGTGATGGCAGGCGGAGGAACCTTCGCCAAGTCATAACAGGCGCAGATACAAGCTGTGATCCAGGAGGAGATCCACTGGGAAGAGACTGGCAATCCCTTCATCCGCTCTGCTATAGCAATGAACAACTGGGTTGTGTTTCGGAACAGCTTTGCCCGCTCAATATAAAAAGTGAGCATTCTCCTAACATCCAGTGAGTGCAGATATAGTTCTTGAGGACTGTTGTGCGACTCTGGATAAAAGACTGGCTGGAAGATGTCCTGGCTAATATGGAAGTGGGACACCACCTTGGGAAGGAAAGCTGGGTGAGGTCTAAGTTGTACCTTATCTTTATGAAAGATCATGTACGGGGGCTCAGAGGTGAGGACCTGCAGCCCAGACACACGTCGTACCGAGGTGATAGCCACCAAGAAAAGCTACTTTCCAAGAGAGGTAGAGGAGTGAGCAAGAAGCTAAAGGCTCAAAGGGAGGGACCATGAAGCGGGAGAAGACTACGTTAGGATCCCAGGCCAGGATGGGGGGCTTCATCGGGGGGGGGGGGGGGATGTATCTTCTCCAGGCCTTTCAGAAAACGTCTCATGATGGGGTGAGCGAACATCGAACGCCCAGAATCGCCTGGGTGAAAGGCTGAAATGGTTGCGAGGTGGACCTTGAGGGAACCAAACGCCAGACGCTGGTCCTTTAGGTACAGAAGATAGTCCAGGATACAAAGAATGGGAGCCTGGAGTGGGAACACCTGCCTTTGGGCACACCAGCTGGACAACCTCTTCCATTTCGCCCTGTATGTGGCACTAGTAGACAGCTTGCGGCTTTCCAGAACTACCTGCCTCATCGGATCCGAACAGGCGACCTCTGCCTGATTCAGCCACGGATTCTCCAGGCTGTGAGGTGGAGAGACTGAAGGTCTGGGTGAAGGAGGCGACTGCGGTTCTGTATAATAAGGTCAGGAATGAGAGGTATCCGTATCGGTGACTGGACCGACAAGTCCATGAGGGTGGGTTACCAGCACTGGCAAGGCTAGGCTGGGGCCACCAAAATGGACGTCCGCCTTGTCCCTGCGGATTTTGAGAAACACTTTGTGGATGAACGGGAATGGCAGGAAGGCATATAGCAGCTGCCTGGACCATGGAATCATGAACGCATCTATGACTGAGCCTGGGCTACGGCTCCTGAAGGAGCAAAAGGTTGGGGAATTCCTGTTGGCTCGTGTGGTGAACAGGTTGATTTGGGGAAACCCCCAACTGTGGAATACGGAGTGGATGATGTCTGGGCGAATCGACCACTCGTGTGAGGAAATGTCTGCTCAGGCCGTCTGCTAGCATGTTCTGAACATCCTGCAGGTATGAAGCCTGCAGAAGGATGGAGTGGGCTAGGCAAAATTCATACAGTAGGAGGGTTTCCTGACACAGAAGAGACAAGCAAGCTTTGCCTTGCTTCTTAATATAAAACATAGCTGCGGGGTTTCCCGTCAATACCGCAACGCAGTGGCCCTGCAAGCGAATCAGAAAAGCTGGTCAGGTGAGGCGGATCGCCCCGAGTTCTTTGACGTTGATATTCAGATCCACTTCCTCTACTTGCCATAGGCCCCAAGTTGTCAGGCTTCCCAGATGCGCTCCACAGCTTAACGCAGACGTGTCCGTGAC